GGGAGCACCTACCCACAATGTCATTCACAGAGACGGGAGCACCTACCCACAATGTCATTCACACAGAGATGGGAGCACCTATCCACAGTGTCATTCACACAGTGGAGGGAGCACCTATCCACAGTGTCATTCACACAATGAAGGGAGTGCCTACCCACAATGTCATTTTAAAGAATACGGTTTGGGAAGAAAAGCTGGGAGTTTTTAGTTTTTATGCTTTCTAGGGTGTTTGTTTTGGCTAAATGATAATATTATCATTGTATATTGCCTTAAATTGTTTTGCTTTATTGCTGTGAGGAGTGTGCATGTGTGGAGGTCAGAGAACAAGTCTTTGGAGTTGGTCCTTCCTGCCTCCTTCACTTGGGTTTTGAGGATGGAACAAAGACAGTTCTTGTGCTGTTGTGTAGCGAGCACCTTCACCGCTGAGCTGTCTCACCAGCCTTTCGTTCCTTCTGAATGCTGACCTGGAGCAAGTTGTTACCAGCATTGAACCCCGGGAAGCTTGACCCTGTGGAACCCGGCTGCATCTTAGAGCACCAGGAGACTACGGCAGGAGGATCTGAGTTCCAAGCAGCCTGAGCTCCCAAGTGCACCTCAAAAAAAATAAACAGGCAGGCTAGAGAGATGGCTCAGAAGCTAGGAGCGTTTGTTGTTCTTGCAGAGGACCCTGGTGCTGTTTCCAGCACCCACATGGTGGTTCACAACCATTTGTAACTCTGTCTTAGGGGTTTCTCTTGCTGTGGTAAAACACCATTAGCAAGAGCAACTTGGGGAGGAAAGGGTTTCGTTCAGATTGGTTTGTAAGGAACTGGTGCAGAGGCCATATGGAGGAGTGCTTCTTACTGGCTTGCTTAGCCTGCTTTCTTGCTGTACTCAAGACCACCAGTCTAGAGGGTAGCACCACCCACAATGAACTGGGCCTTCCCACATTGCTGTGAGATAATGCTTTTGTACACTGGTTTAATAAAATGCTGATTGGCCAGTAGCCAGGCAGGAAGTATAGGCGGGGCTAGCAGACAAGGAGAATGCTGGGAACAGGAAGGCTGAGTCAGGAGTCGCCAGCCAGATGCGGAGGAAGCAAGATGAGAATGTCTGAGAAAAGGCACCAAGCCACATGGTTAAACATAGATAAGAATTATGGGTTAATTTAAATGTAAGAGCTAGTCAATAATAAGCCTGAGCTAATAGCCAAGCAGTTGTAATTGATATAAGCTTTGAGTGATTATTATTATTTTATAAGCAGGCCATGGGACTGTGGGAGCTTGGTGGGACCAGAGAAACCTTCTGACTACACCACATCAATCATTAATCATTCGCCATAGGCTTGACCACAGGCCAGTCTGGTGGGGACATTTTCTCAGTTTAGGTTCCTTCTTCACAAATGATGACCTTGTGTCAAGTTGATGTAAAACCAGCCAGCACACTCCAGTTCCAGGGGATCTGATGCCCTTTCTGATCTCTACAGGTCAGCAGGTTCTCACGTGGTGCATGTACATACATGCAGGCAAAGCACTCACACGCATAAAAATAAATACATCTTAAAAGCTCTTTTAAATAAACAAACAAACAAAAATAGTCAACATTAGGAGCCAGATGTGTTAGCACATACCTGTAGTACCAGCACATGGAATAATGAGGCAAAAGATGTTGTGGGACTGGAGAGACGCCTCAGCATTTAAAGGCACACAGGGACAGCTCTTGCAGAGGACCTGAGTCTGGATTCCAGCGCCCAGAATCAGGCAGCTCACTGCTGCTTATGACTCCAGCTTCAGGGATCCAGCAACCTCTCCTGGCTTCCAGAAGCTGCACTTACATTCATACCCCAACACAGACACACAAACATGCATATAATCAAAAAGAAAAGAAAAGTTGTTTTGAGGATTGTTACAATGTTACTTGTTGCTGTAGCAATTGTGCCCTCCATATGTGGCACTTCTCAGTTTGTTCAAGCGTGCTGAAATGTGTTCACAGGAGACACCGTAGCTCAGGCTTTGCTGTTTCATTCCTCATTTCTTTCTGTACTCCAGCACTTCAATAGTGATTCATTCAGTAGTAGACTTATTGGGAACCAGAAAACAAGACACAAAACATTGCAAACAAGACACAAAACTGAAGTATGTTCACCTTAAGAGCTTTAGAGTCACTTTAGGTTCCTTTCGCAGGCCCTGCGGTGGTCAGTCGTCATCTCGCTCGAGTTCTGCTCCTGTGGAAGTGTGTCTTTCCAGTGTCTCCCAAAGATCTAGAGACAGAAAAAAGCCGAGGAGATGCGTTTACGTGGCAAGTGACCCTGGAGGGCCGAGCTGGTGCTCTCGGTGGTAGGTTGACTCCTCTCTGTCCTGGTCCCTCGCTTCCCCTCCCTTCGTCTGTGTGTGTTCTGTGTGCTTCCTCTGGTGTGAGCGCACAGGGGTCTGACTAGGGTCTCCATACCAGGATGTGGTCAGTTAGCTGGGGATGACCGAGTGCCAGTGAGAGCCAGATCTGAGAGCGGTACCTTAGACTCCTCCTTACTGCATGTCAGAAATGACAACATTGCTTCAGGTAGATACTCTTCAGAAATGGAAGGATTTTATTTCATTAGCCCTGAAGATGCATGGTTCCCAGTAAGTGTGATAACTATGGATAGGCTTGGAAATAACATTAGGAAGTTTGAGCTAAGGAAAGATGCCTTTCCTAGGAAGACTAGGAAGTACATATTTGTTTATTTGTAGCATTTTACTCTCAAAAAGAAGAGAATTTTTATTAGTCTAGTTTTAAAGTATTTATTTTAGTCCCCTTGTGAAGCAGTCTGAGTTGAGTAACTGAAATCCCTGGCCAGAGTCTCTGTGGTTTTAAGGTTTATTTTTAATCTTCATTTATGTCTGTGTGAATGTGTGTGTGTGTGCACCGTGTGGGATGGTGCTTGTGCAGGCCAGACAAGGAGTCGGATCCTCCTTGCACCGGACTACAGTGACATGAACCAGAGGCGGGTTCTACACATTCTCAACCACTGAGCCATCTCTCTAGCCCTGATTCTCTTCCTTTTTAAATTTGAGACAGGGTCTCACTATGTAGCCCTGATTGTCCTAGAACTCACTTTGTAGACAGGCTGGCCTTGAACTCACAGAGATCTGCCTGTCTCCCAAGTGCTGGGATTAAATGCTTGGGCCACTTCGCCCAGCTTTGACTTCTTTTCTTGTTTTAAACTTCTGAGCTCCAGGGCTAAGTGCAACTCTAGGACAGCAGCATTTTGTTAATTTACTAGTCTCTTAGCAATCCCAGGAAAGTCTTTTTTTTTATTCTTATGCAATACATAATGACTATAGTTCCTCCCTCCGCTCCTCCATTTCCCTTCAGAAAAGAGCAGGCCTCCGGGGTATCAGCAAAACTTGGCTTAACAAGCTACAATAAAACTAGGCACATACCCACATATCAAGGGTGGATGAGGCATCCCAGAAGGAGGAAAAGGGTCCAAAGAGCAGGCAAAAGAGTCAGAGACACTCCCATTCCCACTGTTGGAATCCCACAGGAACCCCAAGCTAAACAATCACAGCATACATACAGAGGAACTGGCACAGACCCATGCAGGCTCCATGATTGCCACTTCAGTCTCTGTGAGCCACTGTGAGCCCTGCTGGATGGATTCTGTGGGCCATGTTCTCGTGGTGCCCTCAGCCCTTCAAGCTCCTTTAGTCCTTCCTCCCTTTGTTCCATGGGGTTCCCCCAGCTCCGCCTAATGTTTGGCTGTGGGTCTCTGCTTCTGCTCCCATCAGTTGCTGGATGAAGCCTCTCTGATGACGATTGGGCTAGGCACCTCCCTGTTCTTCTGACTGACTGGAAATTCTTGAAAAACGTAGAGATGGAAGATACTAGCTTCCTTTTTGTCATGGAATTTCAAGCTGATTTTTGTTTTGAGCACACATCTCCGTAACATTGCTGATGGTGTACATAATTGAATGTTTCTGTCTCATAAATGTCTGTTCTCATTTTCAGCTGTCAAGAGCTTCATTTCCCACTGTGGTGATCTCCTCACTGAGGAAGTTATTCAGCGTCTTCTGCCGCCACTTCCCAGTGCTGTGGATTTGCTGACTCAGTAAGGATCAGCCTGGTAGAATTTTCTAAGAGCACTTAGTTACCCTCTGTATGCTCTCCCTAGATACAGTGATAAGACAAGCTGATATGGTTGGTTCTATTGCAGAGAAAGGCAATCATTTAGATGTGTGACTTTTCTTTTTTTTAGGCTAGGATCTTGAGAGGAAATGCATATTAAAAGGGAAGGAAAATTACTTGGTGGATAATATACCTTCCATACAGGCAGATTTAACAAGAGATTAAATCCTAAGCCTGCTAACCTTTGCAGGTATGCATTGTATTGGTTTGTGAGTGCTGTTCTGTGTTCCTAAGAACTAGATGCTTATTAACACTCCCGGGGTTCTGTATGTTATACTTCTCCTAAGTTGATGTAACATCTCTCAGGGAAAGCACACATTTTAGAGTGTGTGTGTGTGTGTGTGTGTGTGTGTGTGTGTGTGTGTGTGTGTGTGTAAAACGTACAGTCATAAGCACTAATTCCCAAATTAATAAGGTATAGTGAAAAATCTTTCCAAAGATTTTTAATGATATACCATTTTATATATAAAGAAAATACATTTAAGGCATGGCCTGTAAAAATATAATAATAGAGTAAACATCATTGAATCAAACATGGGTAGATCAGGGGCTACAAGGGCCACAGTAAATATTTTAAGCTTTATAGGCTGTGAGGTCTGCATTGAAATGCTCAGCTCTTAGAGCTCAGAAGGAATCACACATAATAGGTGAGTGGGGAGGCGGATGTGACTATATCCCAGACTTACAGAGACAGGCAGTTGAGCGTGAGCAACAGACATGTCTTTGATCTGATGGCTTTTCCTTTGACACATTGTTTTTCTTTTAGGTTGATTATAAGACTTTTTACATATTTGCAATACTATTGCTGTTCATTAAAATACTAAAATATTTTTTATTAAGATGTTCTCAACTTAAACATCACATCTTTTACTTCTTTGGTTGGTTTTTGGGAGAGAAGGGGTTGGTTTGGGTGTTTCTGGTTTTGTTTTTAAACAGAGTCTCTATGTATCCCTGGCTGTCCTAGTACTCCGTGTGACCAGACTGACTTTGAACTCACAGAGATCCATACCTACCTTTTCTCTTAAGTGCTGGGATTCAAGATGTGTGCCACCACACCTGGCCCCCATCTTATATATTTTTGCTATGATTTTTTTTTATATTCCAGGTTTTATTTTTTATGCTTAAGTCTTTAATCCGTCTGAAGTTGGATTTTCTACTTAGAGTGAGGTAGAAGTCTGCCTTAGTGACAAAATACCTCAGACCAGGTGACTCATAGAGAACAGAAATGTGTGTAAGATCCAGGACTGGCAGAATAATGTCTGGTAAGAGTCTGCTCCCTGTCTCCAGCATGGTACCTTTCCCCTCGTCCTTTGAGGAGGGTGGATGATGATGTGTCCTCCTGTGACAAAAGGGAACCACACTGCCTTAGGAAACTGTCAAACAGTTTCATAAAGTCACTAATCATTCATGAGGGAAGGGCAAAAGGCCCAGCCATCCAACATACCTGATTGGTGGTTAAGTTTGATTAGTTGATTTCTTTGGATTTAATGGATAGCATTTAATCAACTACCTCTGTGTGGCTTTAAGTCACCAGGACACATTTAATCTTCTCTCACCTCTTCTACTGGAAAATTTGGAACCAGAAGTGCTGAGACATGCCCTAATCCAAGGGAGGCAGAGGTAGGTGGATCTCTGAATTCAAGGCCAGCCTGGCCTGCATTGGTAGTTCCATGTCAGCCAAGACCGCATGGTGAGATTCTGTCTCAAAACAAACAAACAAAAAAAAACCTAGAGAAAAATTGGACCTGACAATGAGTCTGCTTCTGGAGCTTCCCCTTCTCTGGAACTTTGCAGAAGTCTGGTCACACTATATCAACAGTGCAGGAACCCCCTTTCTTGTTTTTTGTAACATTTGCCCGTATCTGCTCACTGACCAGCACCCACAACTTACTGAGGCTGCTGGCAGAAGCTGTGGATCCTCAGTAGGAATGCCTCATAGCGGCTTTCTCAAAGTCACCTGGCTAGCACTTGTCAAAACTGACCATGTGATATATAGCATCCCCCCAGCACCTGGTTGCTTCTGGTGCAGAATGAGGCCATCCTCATTCTGGATGGCATGTCCACTGCTGAAAATGCTCAACACGTGAGTTTTCAGGGACAGAAAATTTAGACCAGACCAAAGTCCGATTTCATTTTCTTTTTTCATGTGGAAAACTCAGTGACTTGTGCTTCACCTTAACAGTCTACCCTTCTGTGATTACCATCACTTATCTCACATATTACATCCCAGAATATTCATGATTCTTCCTGTGTGCCTATATCTGTGCCAACACATCATCTTCATGATGAATTACACTCTTTGAGCGAGCCCTTCGACCTTATGTTTTTGGCATTCATATACTTTGGATCATCTCCTGTTGGTGGAAGTTTCTGTCCTGCCCACCAGTTCCCAAATAACCTGCAGCCGCTTCCCAGATAACTGATTCGGAGACTTAATATGAATTATAAATGCTTGGTTGATAGCTCAGACTTGTTACTACCTAACTCTTACATCTCAGTTAACCCATATTTCTTTTCTATGCTTTGTCATGTGGCTCATGGCTTGTTACCTCATTTTCTACACATCCTGCTTCCTTGGAGTCTGGCTGGCATCCTCTGACTCTGCCCTTCTTCCTCCCAGCATTCTCAGTCTGGCTGTCCCACCTATACTTTTTGCCTGGCTATTGGCCAGTCAGTGTTTTATTAAGCCAATCTGAATGACAAATCTTTACAGTGTACAAAGGGGGTATTCCACAGCAGTCTCCTGTTGAAATTTGTTTTTTTAACTGAATCTATACATAAATTTGAAGAAAATTAAATTTTTATAGTACTATGAACATAATAGTTCTCTATTACCAGGGTGTCTTACAAGATACAAGTGTTATACTTTTTTTTTTTTTTTTTTGGTTTTTGGTTTTTCGAGACAGGGTTTCTCTGTGTAGCTTTGCGCCTTTCCTGGAACTCACTTGGTAGCCCAGGCTGGCCTCAAACTCAAAGAGATCCACCTGGCTCTGCCTCCCGAGTGCTGGGATTAAAGGTGTGTACCACCACCACCCGGCTAAGTGTTATACTTTTAAAAACTCAGTCCCCGGCTACTTTTTGTTGTTGTAGTCATTAAGTAAGTGATGTATGTATATATGATCTGTTCATTGCTACTGTATAAGAATGGAACTGAGCCAGGTGGTGGTGGCACACACCTTTAATCATAGCACTCAGGAGACAGAGGCAGGTGGATCTCTAAGTTTGAGACCAGCCTGGTCTGCAGATGAGTTCCAGGTCAGCCAAGGCTACACAGTGAAACCCTGTCTTGAAAAGCAAGAAAAAGAATGTAACTGACTCTTTGCCAACCACCTTGCTGACCACATCCGTGTTAAAGATGAGTGTGTGGGACTGGACGGATGCCGTGGAGGGTGAAACACTTGCTGCATAAGCGTGAGAGTCAGAGTTTGGATCCTCTGATTCCATCCTAAAGCTAGGCAGGCACACCCAGGAGACAGAGATGGGGGAGGCCCTGCAGCAAGAATCTGGTTAGACTAGCTAGAACTGACAAGCTCTGGCTTCAGCATTAGACCTGCATCAGTAAAGAGAGTAACAAAACACTTGCTGTCAGCTTTGGGCCTCTACGTACTCATGTACACACGTACAGTTTACCCCCACATGTGCTGACACACATGCACACACACGCACACGCACACACACACACACACACACACACACACACACACACACACACAC